CTTGTTGCATATGCTATGTCGGGTCTAGTACAGACCATAGCATACATCAAAGACCAATTTGTCTTCTTTTGATTCCTCATAACTTCCTTATAGTCTTTAGGTTCTTCGTCTAGAACCTCACTAGCAGAGATTAAGGCATAAGCTATAAGATCTGCATACCCAAGTCTCTGAGGTGGCTTGATGACTCTCCTCGACCTGTCTCTTGCTAGCAGGTAGTCATTATCAATCTCCTCATCTTCGACAGCATCTTCTGCGTCTTTTTCGACTTCATCTGGGTTAAGCAATTCAGCATCAACATGTTCCACCTCAACAGGAATCTCTCCCTGTTCCAGCTCTTCGTCAGCATAATCAGTTTTCTTGAAAGCCATCACTGCTTCATTGAAAACTACATCTCGACTGGTGATACACCTTCTGTGACCTGGCTCTAGGCACCATAGCCTATAAGCTTTGACTCCTTCAGGGTATCCCATGAACATGCACTTCAGAGCTCTAGGTTCGACCTTGTCTTGCCTAATATGAGCATAGGCCACACAACCAAATACTCTCAATCTGTCGAGAATAGGTGGCTGTCCCGACCAAAATTCTTCAGGTGTCTTCATTCCCAAGGCAGTCGAGGGACATCTATTTATCAGGTAAGCTGCTGTCGAAACAGCTTCCGCCCAAAACACCTTCTTCAATCCAGCACTAACCAACATGCATCTAACCCTTTCAAGGATTGTTCGATTGAATCTCTCAGCTAAGCCATTTTGTTGAGGAGTACCTGCTACAGTCTTATGCCTTGAAATCCCAGACCCAACACAGTAACTGTCGAAAGCTTCGTTGCAGAATTCAAGGCCATTGTCGGTTCTCAACCTCTTAACCTTTCTGCCAGTCTGAGTTTCGACTAGAATCTTCCAACTTTTGAAATTCTCAAAAGTTTCATCCTTCGTCTTCTGAATGAATACCCATAGTTTTCTGGAATAGTCATCAACGATGGATAGAAAATACCTTGCACCTGAGTGTGAAGGATTCCTTGCAGGCCCCCAAAGATCAGCATGAATGTAATCCAGAGATCCATGTGTTCTTTGCTTGCCTTTGTTAAATTTCGCCCTACAGGATTTACTAAATACACAAGATTCACAAAATTCCAACTTTTCGACTTTGTCACCTCCTAGCAGGTTCTGCTTCCCCAATTCGACCAGGCCTCTTTTGCTGACATGGCCCAATCTCATGTGCCATAATTCTCTCTTCGACATAGATTTCGTGGATGCAACATTTGTCGAACCACTTACAACCTCAGCCTCAAGGGTATACAAGCCTTGTTTCTTCACGCCTCTCAAGACTTCCTTCGACCCCTTCATGACTCTTAGGATACTTTTCTCTCCTTGAAAAACATATCCTTTTCTGTCGAATTCACCAAGAGAAATCAAATTTCTCTTCAAGTCAGGTACGTACCTGACTTCAGTCAATAACCTTATTGACTCATCATGGAGCTTGAATCTCACATATCCAATACCTGCAATTTTGCAAGATTTGTTGTTTCCTAACAGCACAGATCCACCATCTTGATCACATAGCTCCTCGAACAATTCTCTGTTTGGAGTCATGTGTCAAGTGCAACCTGAATCCATAATCCACTCTTTCCTCGAGTCGCCACTTGAAACCACAAAAACATCAGATGAGTCGAAGTCATCTTGAACAATGGCTGCATTACCATTACCTCCATAGAAATTAGGATATATTATTATTATTACTATTTAAATTGAAATAGATTGTATATATAATAGTAAATCATAATTCCATAGAATTATTTAATATAATTCCTAACTCCATCCAAGTTATGTTATAATATCCACATGATGTATAAGGTTTTCATATTTGTTTAGTCTCAAGTGATAGGTGACTGTTCCTAATGCTACTAGGAGCATCATGTTTCGTTTACTTTAATATAAGATGCTAAAGTAACTAATGATAAGAGTTCCTACATCACATTTTTCTTCAAGGTAGTTCGCTACAGAACTCAATTTTAAGGAATTATCACTAGCTACCAATTAATTATTCACCAACTTATGACTCTATAGTACTAAGTTATGAAACTATGACTTTATCACAATAAGTTGGCTCCATGTATCAACAAGCTACAATACCATTACATAGTAATTTCACCTTTTTGTTTTACTTCTAGATGTTACATGCTACACTAAGTCAAGGATAACAATAATCACATTTTCGTTCTTCTTATGAAGTATAAGTTAGGAAATTCATTCCAAGTGATACGCAAAACTCATGAGATATCACATGTTCCGCTACTGTTCAATTGCATCTAATGAAATCATCACCTTCCATTTTGAAATAAAATTGCGCCACAGTAGTAGAACTTGTGAAAACACCACCTGTTAATTTCATGCGCTACAATACACTAGTGATATGACATTATCATGTTTCATTTTGTATACAAGTGCTATGCGCTACAGTAACAACACACTCAATATTATATATCAATTCCAAACCAAATTAATCATCACATATCAAAGATTATCATTAAAAGCTAACAATTATAGAATCATAAAAATTAGGGGTTTCATCCTAAACATGTTTCTAGCTCTTGTTCTTGGTTCCTCTTCTCTTCTCTTTTCTTCTCTTCTAGTCTCTTTCCAACTTTCTATTTCTCTTCTATCCCCTTTCTCTTGTTTTGTTAAACCCTAACCATTCATAACAATGCTAATATCTATTGGACTCACTAACTCACTCTCTCACTTACTATTCGCACTCTCTAATAGATCCAATTAATTATTCTATCAATTTCATATTTTATTCCACCAAATAAAATAATTAAAACAAATTAATTAATCAAATAAATCAATTAATTCATATAATTTTAATAAATTAAATAATTCATTTAATTCAAATAAATCACATATTTCAATTAAATTAATTAAATCAATTAGGCATCAAAATCACGCGATTAATTAATATAATAAATAAATAATTACTAAAATTGGGGTGTTACACTTTTGACCTTTTCTTCTTTGATATCTTTGTCTTCATCAAAATTAAACTAGATATAAGATGTATTCCTCACAATCTTCCCCTTTTGATGATGACAAGATATTGTCTCCCCATAAGTTGTACGTCTCCCCCTTTATTGGTGAATCAAGAAGCACATAACCTTCTGGTTTCTTCATGTAAATCTCCTCATCGATATCTACAATTTGGGATGTATTTGATGAACTATAAGATCATGCAAAGAAACTAATGCGAATAATAGTTATAATTGTCGTCGTCCTTGCCAATAGTGCATATGTGTTGAAATAATCAACACATTCCTTTTGTCTAAAACTCTTGGCTACTATTCTATCGTTGTAGGTGTTTAGTGTATCACTATGATACTTCCTTCGAAACACCCACGTGCATCCAATAGGTCTCGATCCTTTAGGAAGATTGACAAGTTCTCAAGTATAGTTTGACATTGTCTAATCCATTTCGTCTTAGATATCATCCTACCAAAAAGGAGTCATTTGAAGCTAATGATTCCTTATAAGTCTTAGGATCGTCTACCACTTGAAGAATAGGAACCTTATGAACAAAATTCTCACTATTTTCTTCTATCAGATAACAGAAATAAATCAACTATCGATTTTGTTCGGTCCTTGATCCATATTTTTTTGGACTCTCTTTCTTATTCTATGTTTGGGTTGTTTTTCAACAATCCGTGAGAAATCTTCCTCACGAGATTCTTCATTAGTGAAGAACATTCGGTTTGTGTTTCAACAATCCGTGGAGAACCTTCCTCATGAGGTTTTCATTGGTGGAAATTTCAAATTTCTTATCCTCCGTGGTAAGGATCTCAAAATTCCACATCTTGGTACTTAATAGTTACATTAGACTTCAAATTCAGATATTTATATATAAATCATGATTCATCTTTAGACGATTTTTATATGTCTTATAATAATAAGTCTCATTGAATACAAACATGTTTTTCACATATAATCCAAATCAACATAATTGCATAGTTTGATATTATGAACTTTAATAAATTTAATCACTAAACACTTTAGTGATTGACAAATTTTGAATCTACTTAATTCAAGATTAACTAGAGTAATAATATTACTAATAGTAATGAAACAAAATAACAAATAATAATACTAAGACATACATAATTTTAATTTGTGAAAATTTAATTACATGGCATATGTAATATATATAGTTTGGTTTCTCCTGAATCTGAATTAGGTTACATATACAAATTTTTTTCTTTTCTTTTCACAAAGTATACATTAGGAGGAATACTTAGAATAATTCAGTCTTATGTTGAATTTGTACAAGATCGACGACAACTCGATTATGTAGCGAAGAGTGTCTAAAATTTTATACAAAAGGATATTTGATTCGTGATGTAATTTTTAAATTCCAAATAAAGTATTTATAGGTCATGTGTGTGTTGTTTCACAAGGTTGCGACTATTTATGAAACAACACCTTTTTAGCATAAGATTGCAATGGTTCACCTATAGTTACATTATCCACCACTTCATGAAGTATTGTATATTTTGAATTCGAAATTCAAACTTTCAGTAGTCCGAAACAAATTTTATGACAACTTCCACTTGTGGATCTTTAGCGCAAAAATTAACCAGAATTCCTTTAGACAGATTTGAAGGCAAATTCCATTGGTGGATATTTAATGTAAAAATTGTTCAGACAGATTTAAAGACAATTTTCACTTTTGTCTATGAGGCACTTTTATTCTCTTTAACTTTATCTAATTTAAACACACCATATAAACATTAATTGTTCATTAATTTTTAACATGCATCACAAATTGTTCATTAATTTTTAACATGCATGACAAATCAAACGAGCTTATCAGAAATATATATTTTTAACTATCCAATTGCTATCGATGTCTTATGGAATAACCTCAAAAACCCAATGGCGTGTGGACTTTTCATCTATAAGTATCATGTAACAAATCTTATAGATATACAACACATTCCAACTAGCTAAACAATAGCAATGTTAAACTCTAAAGTTATGAGATTCAAATCCACTCTTTTCTTCTTCCTATTCACCATCCATGGAGCACTTTCATCTCCTCCAGCAGATCCAATTAAATGTTCATCAAACAACACCAACTGCACCATCACAAACGCCATCGGTGCATTCCCCGACCGAACCATCTGCAAAGCCGCCGAGGCTAAGTATCCTACCTCGGAGGCAGAACTCATATCAATAGTCGCATCAGCTTCAAAAAACAACCAAAAAATGAAAGTAACAACGCGATACTCTCACAGCATACCAAAGCTAGTTTGTCCCGACGATAACGGAATTCTAATAAGCACAAAAAATTTCAACCGTGTAATAAGAATAGACCGGGAATCAATGACAATAACTGTTGAGAGTGGTGTGACATTGAGACAGATCATTAGTGAAGCTGCAAGATATGAAATGGCTCTACCATATACACCATATTGGTGGGGTTTAACTATTGGTGGATTACTGGGTACAGGTGCTCATGGAAGTACGTTGTGGGGTAAAGGAAGTGCTGTTCATGAATATGTCACACATGTTAGAATTGTTAGTCCTTCAGGATCTGAAGATGGATTTGTTAAAGTTCGAAATCTTGACGAATCTCATGAAGATCTTAATGCTGCAAGAGTTTCTTTAGGAGTTCTTGGAGTTATTTCTCAGGTATATAGAATTTGAATTTTTGGGATTGTCATCATATTTTGGTTGCTTGCATGATGTTTGACTTTTCTATTCTCACTCATTATTTTACAGGTTACCTTACAATTACAACCCATCTTCAAACGATCTCTTACATATTTAACAAAAAATGATTCTGATTTAGGTGATGAATTAATCACTTTTGGAAGAAAACATGAATTTGCAGATGTATCATGGTATCCAAGTCAAAAAAAAGTTGTTTATAGAATCGACGATCGTGTCCCTTTAAATACATCTGGAAATGGTTTATATGATTTCATAGGATTTCGATCAACATTCTCACTTGCATTACAAGTTGTTAGAGCAGCAGGTTAATTAACTTAACTTAATTTCATTTCTCATTTTATTTCTTGTAGTTAAGCAAAGTTATATTTAATTTTTTTTTTACAATAGAGGAAATTCAAGAAACTTTAAGCGATGCTATTGGGAAGTGCAATAATGCAAAGTTGATTTCTGCAACACTTGCTGCTTCTGGTTATGGATTGACTGATAATGGTAAGTTTTCTTCTTATAAAATATTTGTTATATTAAAAACCAACACGGATATAATAATGTAGTATAAATTTGTAAGTTTTTTTATAATTTATAATTTTTAAAAATTAATTATATTTTTTAAACGGTGTGAAATGATCTAATGTTATAGTGTTATATAATTTAAGATAGATAAAATAATATGTTTATATTTTGATGTAAGAAAGTTACGAATTGTAGGAGTTTTTCTTGGATACCCTGTTGTTGGATTACACAATCGAATGCAATCATCTGGAACATGTTTGGATAGTTTGGAGGATCTAATGATCACGGCTTGTCCATGGGACTCGAGAATTAAGGGAGAATTCCATCACGAAACAACATTTAGTATTTCTTTATCGGTTGTTAAAAATTTCATTAAAGATATTCAAGAACTTGTTGAGTTGGAGCCAAAAGCGCTATGTGGTCTAGAACTATACAATGGAATCCTTATGCGTTATGTTACAGGATCAAGTGCATACTTAGGAAAAACAGAAGATGCTATAGATTTCGACATTACATATTACCGTAGCAAAGATCCATTAGCTCCTAGACTTTTCGAAGATATAATTGAAGAGATAGAACAAATTGGATTGTTTAAATATGGAGGGTTGCCCCATTGGGGAAAAAACAGAAATTTAGGATTTATGGGAGCAATCAAGAAGTATAATAAAGCAACTAAGTTTTTGAAGGTTAAAAAAGAGTATGACTCGCGAGGACTTTTCTCTAGTGAGTGGACAAACCAAATTCTTGGACTTAAAGAAGGGGTGACAATATTGAAAGACGGTTGTGCATTAGAAGGATTGTGTATCTGCTCACAAGATAGTCATTGTGCACCCAAAAAGAGTTACTTATGTAGACCAGGCAGAGTCTTCAAGGAAGCAAGGGTTTGTAGGCATGTTGTTAAAACTAAAGAGAAAAATGATACGAAGAATGAGCTCTAATAGAGTTATCTATTGTTGCATATGTTATCTAATACTCTCTTGTCACTATTATAAATAAATGAATTTTTGATATATTGATTAACTTATGTATCTGTGACTAGATACATCAATTAATTAATAAATTAAAAAAACTATTTTACTTATAATAGTTATGTATATTGTAATGTTTTGAAAAAATAATAATTCTCTGTTATAAAAGAAAGAACTTTTCTTTTATGAGATAAACTTTTTTTGTAATGTATTTTGTCAATTTGTAACTTGTTTTATATGATAGTAAGGTTCATGTTTAATACTTAATGGTAAATAATTGATTTTAGATTTAATATTTTGTTTTCGTTCTGTATCTCTTAGTCAAGGTTTATATTGGTTCCTTAACTAAAAAAATGTTTATTTTGGTCCCTCAATTATTCAAACAGAGTCACGTTTGTCCTTAACGTCAAATGCATTAGTAAAACTCAATGCAAGAGGTCATATGTCGCTTAGGTGGAATAGTATTTGCAATGGTGGAAAAACATTTGTGAGTTGTATGTGAACATTGATGAGATGGAATACTTAATGGGATTTACAAGTGATTTCTTTCATTTCTCTAATATTTTCTCTCAGACTGAAACAAAGGAAGAACGAAGGAGTCTTACTGCGAATGCGAACAAATATGAATGAAGGAATGAACTTTATGAAGTAATGAACGAATCCAGAAGTGAGAGAAAACGAAGCTAGAGAATTATTTTCTAAACGAAAAGAGGAAGACAAGTCTACTGGTAAGTCTAATGTTTCACTTCTTTCTAATTTAGGATTTACTAGGTTTTCGTTTTTCTCCCCTTTCTAATTTAGGGTTTATGAGGTTTAATGTGTGGGGTTTAATGTATAATTAATTTTAGGCTATAGTCTTCATATTAGGGGGTTCTCTCATAGTTGTAGGAATTTGTGTTCATTGTGATTCTAAATGTTAATTTATGTTATATGAATGTGATTGTATGGATTTTTGTTGGTTTTAGGAATATGTGTTGGTTCTGATTCTAGATGTGAATTTGTCTCGTACGAATGTGATTGTATGAAAGTGATTGTGATGGTTATGATTATAAATGTTTATATGTGTTGGTTCTTATTAAGTAGTTTTCCTTTTAAGTAAAGGGAAATGCTAACCAGTGCCCTCAGGACACTTTTTAAAACTTTAAATAGTAAGTTTTTATAAAAGTATGTGCAATGATGTGTAATAATGTGCATTGGAAATTGAAGTGTTTGAATTTTTTAAAGAATAATTTCTTAATATGGAATGTTTAAATAGTGCCCTGAGGGCACTCGTTAGCAAGACCCTTAAGTAAATAGTAGATGACTTTGTTTGTGTTTTTATCCGCCATGGAGTTTCATTTGTAGATGATGAGTTTTCTAGTTATGAAGGGTTAGTTTCAGAGCTGAGATGTGATGTAGATAAGTGGAACTATTTTAGTCTAAGATATAAGGAAGTTAGAAAGGTAATATACAAGGACCCAACATTTGATATGTTTACATTGAGTGATGACAAAGGTGTCCAAGATATAGTTGATTTATGCAAGGTACATTTTAGTGTTCATATGTATATACAACATCCACTTTCTTAACCTGAGTACTATGATGATCCTATGTAAGATAAAGTTGTTGTTGTTATTATTACACTCAATCATGGAAGAAACTAATTTTGATTACCAAAATCAAACAAAATAGTTTTTTGTTTTTCCAATCTATCTCACATAATGACATTGTTGTTGATTCCACGCCTACCAAGACATCCAAGACAAAAATTCAATAGTTTATTTCTTTTCTTAACTGACAATATTGAGAAACCTATTCCAGATCATACTAAGAAAATATTGCAACCCAAAAAGAAAATGGTGGATAATAAGAAGTAGTAAGTGATATTCTTTACAATTCACCATTTTCTTTTTAGGTATACAATAGAAGTAATTTATTCCCTTAGGTGGGATGACAACCAAGGAAAAAAGTCCTTATTTTATTTTATACATTAGTATCCATAAATATCCGAGGGGAAAAGTAACCAAGTTATGTCTTTAAACAAATCTTTTTTTGTCCATTTATAAAGTATTAAAGCTCAATACATTGGTAACACATCAAGCCACAAGAAACATCAGTGATCCACGTGAAACTCTTACGCCTTTCAATTAGAACGCGGACGTCACAACTATATATCTTAGATGCTATATTGTGAAAGACAAACATTGATAATAAAAGCATTTAGATTGAAAATAGTGAAATTTAAAGAAGCGTTGAAACAATCTCTAGAATGAATTGCAAGAACAAAAAAAAATAATGGTTTACGGTTTGTGCTATTTACATAATCTCTTGTCTTGTAACATAATAAATTATTTTATTTATATAACATTTGTTAGTTTTATATCATAAACAAATGCGTGCAAAACCATTCAAAATATATTGCATACATATGGGTATGCAACAAAATTTAGCATTTGATCTTCACCGAGGTTCAAAAGGATGATGATGAAGAAGCTTTAAAATTTGTCAATAAATTTTCACTTGCAGATTAAAATAAAAATAATATAAAATTAGGAAAATTTATATTATAATAAAACAAGGGATATTTTTACAAACGAGAGGAATATTAGTGCGTTTTTAATAAAATATGAAAAAATGTTGCTGCTGGGAAAAGTGAGGAGTTTCTATGACACGTTTCTTTATCTTGCACAGCAAATCGAGGTAAAAATTATTTTTCTATCAAGGGAAAAACACTTCTTCGTAGTAGTGAATAGTACATATATTATTTTGGTTTGACTAACAACACTAAAGTGCAATTAAAAAAAAGTATCTAGTAGTTTTTTTTATAAAAAAACAATAATAATAATGAAGTGATAATGTAAATATTTAAAAATTTTATTATTAACTAACAAATTAAAATAAAAACAACAATATCAAAATATATCATTAACCTGAACTATTAAGATCAGCACTAAGTATGATTGGACGATTAAGTCGTTTATCAAGAAAGTCGTATCTTAGGTTTTTAGGTAGTACCTTAAGTTCTACTGATGGTTTTTTCAAGCTTGGCATAGGATCTGATGTAAGTGTTGAACACTCCATAAGACTTTCATCTTGATAGGGTTCAAGGAATGCATCATCTTATAATATAGGTGGTGTTGGAATCGTTATGAGTTTAGTACTCTGAGGTGTTTCCAACTCTAGTTCTTTCAAACATTCATCAATGATATCCATAAAACAACCTGTATCATCTATTGCTAAGGCCGAAATTGGGAAAGAATAAACTCAATTTTCTATTCTTCTACCTCACATGTTAGCTTCCCTTGTTTTACATCATTTATCGCACCGGCTGTGGATAAGAAAGGTATTCCTAGTATGATAGGTATGTTAGAGTCTTCCTTTATATCCATTACTATAAATTCAGTAGGGATATAAAATTTACCGATGAGAACTGGAATATTTTCCAACATTCCCGCAGGGTATTTAACAGAACGGTCTGATAATTGAAGTGATGTTCTAGTAGGTCTCAAGTCTCCTTGCTTAAATTTTGCACAAATAGAGAGAGAATTCAAACTGACACTAGCTCCGTGATCGCATTATGCCTTGTCGATGACAAACTTTCCAATTACACAGGTAATAGAAAAAATACCAGGGTCTTTCAATTTGGGTGGCATGTTGTTTTGGATAATGGCACTACACTCAGTAGTGAATGCCACAGTCTCGTCATCTTCAAGTTTCTTTTTACTCAACAAGATCTCTTTTAGGAACTTTGCATATGATGGAATCTGAGTAATAGCCTCAGTGAAAGGTATAGTAACATGGAGTTGCTTTAGAAGCTCGATAAATTTCTTAAACTGACCCTCGTTCTTTGATTTGGAGAGTCTTTGAGGATATGGTATCTTTGGTTTATAAGGTGGCAGAGGCACATAAGATTTTTCTTTCTCAACAATCTCTTCAGTAGTAGGTGTAGTCTCCCCATCAGTTATTTTCCTACTTGGTCTCCATCAATGGTCTTTTGAGGTTCCTCCTCTACACTTCTATACATCCCAGGGTTTTCACCTCTTGGATCTACGGGCCCATCCAAATATGTCCCACTTTGTAGTGTTATAACGTTTGCATAGCTTTTAGGGTTTGGTTGAGGTTGGCCAGAAAATATGCCAGCATGAGCAGCAATGGCCTCTTGTTGCTGGGCTACTTGAGTTATTTGATTTTCAACCATCTTATCATGAGTAGCCATGGCGTCAACCTTAGTTGCTAATCGTTTCACCATCTCATTAGTATGAGCGTTTTGGTTCATGAATTCTTTGTTGTTGGGTCTGGGATGCGGTGAAGTTTTCAATTATGAGCTCTAGATTCGATTTTCTAGGAACAGGAGGAGCAGCAGGCGCTTCTTTTTGGAAATTTTGAGAGTTAGAAGGTGGAGGACTTGGAAGAAATAGTGCGTTATTGTTCTTGTAGGAGAAATTAGGATAATTCTTCCATCCAGGATTGTAGGTGTTTGAATAGGGGTTACCTTGGACATAGTTAACTTGATCAGGGATAACCCATGTCAATACTTGGCAATCGATAGTCATGTGCCCTTGGATTCCACAAATCTCACAATTTGGAGCTACAGTAGCCAAGGTGGTTAGAGCAGTAAGAGTTATATTGTTGATCTTTAGGGTAAGTGCCTCGACCTTGGCATTCATGTGATCAATTCCATTAACTTCAAACATACCTCATTTCATTTGGGTTTTATCAACTTGTACTCGTTCAGTTCCCCACTGGTAATGGTTTTGAGCCATGTTTTCGATAAGCTGGAAGGCTTTGTTGAAGGGTTCATCCATTAAGGCTCCGCCAGCAACAACGTATATGGTCATCCTTATGTTGTAAAGTAGACCATTATAGAAGGTGTAAATGATTAGCCATTGTTCTAAACCATGATGAGGACATAGTCTCATCATGTCCTTATATCGTTCTCATGCTTCAAAGAGTGATTCTCCTTCGACTTGTTTAAACATGGTTGTGTCATT